ACGCGCGCGCTTCGCGCGCGCCTAGGTTCTAGCTGGGCACATCGTCAACGTCATCATCGTCGTCGCCGCAGACCTCGTTGTCAGCATCCTCATCATCAGCAGCATCAGCATCATCGTCATCAGCACCACCATCACCATCATCATCATCATTACTATTATTATTATTATTAGTATTAGTATAATTATTAGTATTAATATTATCGTTGGCCTCATCATCGTCATCATCATCATCGTCATCATCATCGTGATCATCGCTATGATCATCATAGTCACCAAAATCATATTAGTCGCCGTCGTCGTCGTCGTCGTCATCATCATCCTCATCCTCATCATCATCATCTTCGTCGTCACCATCAAAAGCTTAATCGTGGCCATCTTGGCAATCAACAACATCGTCGTCATCGTATACGTGTCGTCCTCGTCGTCGTCGTCATCATTCTCACCATCATTATCATCTTCATCATCATCATCAGAATCATCATAATCATGATCATGATCATCATCATCATCATCATCATCATCATCATCATCATCATCATCGTCATCATCATCATCCGTCTGCTCTGGCTTTCTCCTCCTCGTCGTCCTCCTCCTCCACCTCTTCCCCGTTCTATCTCTCCCCGTTCTCCTTTCCTCCTCCTCCTCCTCCTCGTCCTCCTCCTCCCCCTCCTCCTCGACGCCTCCGCTTCCTCGAAGAAGATCCCTGCTCCTCCTTCTCCTCATCCTCCTCCTCCCTGTCCTCCCCGCTCTTTCAATCCCCCCCTCCTTGTCTTCCTCCACCTCGTTCTCGTCCTTCCTTACGTCTAGTCCTCCTCATCCTCCGCTCCCCTTCCCTCTTCGTCCTCACCATCCCTCCCCCACCATTATCATCATCATCCATCTGATCCAGCCCCCTCCTCGTCGTCGTCGTCGTCCTCATCCTCCATTTTTCACCCGTTGTATCTCTCCCCGTTCCCCTCTCCCCCTCTTCCTCCTCCTGCTCCTCGACGCCGCTTCCTCGAAGAAGATCCCTGCTCCTCCTCCTGCTCCTTCTCCCTGTCCTCCCGCTCCCTTCAATCTCCCTCTCCTTCTCTTCCTCCACAACATTCTCGTCCTTCCTCACGTCTAGTCCATCTCATCCTCCGCTCCCATTCCCTCCTCGTCCTCAAAATCCCTCCCCGAGACCGAGAAGCCGAGAGCTACAGAATCTGTCAAACATCAACGGGGAACTATTGTTGTTGCGTCTGGAGGCCCTCTTGGTGGTCCTCTTGAGAATCTCTTGTGCCGTCCACGGGGCCCCTTGGGCCATCTTGAGGTTACCTTAGGCCGCCTTGGGACTCTATTGGGCCGTCTCAAAGCCTCAGGGTTTGCGTTGGCGCCACCCTAGTTCCTGGGTTCATATGAAACCCTCCAAAAAATCCACCCAGGAGGCACTATGGGCGCATGACGGGGTGTCCAGGAATTGGGACGGAGTTCGGGGCTGGGACCCGGAACTCATCATCATCATCATCATCATCATCATCATCATCATCATCATCATCATCATCATCATCAGCATCATCAGCATCATCATCAGCATCAGCATCAGCATCAGCATCAACATCATCATCATCAGCATCATCATCATCATCATCATCATCAGCATCATCATCATATGGCTGTTTCTGTATTCGATGCTCCCCAAACAATGCTTGCACTTACTGTTCGGGATCCGCTCTGGCAGACATCTTCCTGGGAGGTGGACCCTCGTGGCACTCCGCCACCCCTTGGCCAAAATATAGCTATAATGTCCACTGCTGAACCCCATTGCGCGGGTGGCGGGCGGAATCGTTACTGTCCCTCCCCCGATTTATTCCGGCCAACTTCCACCGACACTCCGCTGGCAATAACCGTGCTTCCGATGAGATTGCCACGGCAATCCTCCGCAATGATTCCGTGACATTCAGCTCCCCCCCCCCGGGGCTGGCCGGAGAGGGGGGGGGCACGATTTGTTAAAACCCCCCGGTGCGATTTTCCATTCCACGGAGACTCGTCGGCGATCCTCCGCTCCGACTCCGTGACATTTAACTTCCCCCCCGGCAGGCCGGAGAGGGGGAGGGCACGATTTGTTAACACCCCCCGGTGCCGCTATGTTCCATACCGCAGAGATTTTGATCAAGAAACTCCCCTGCTCCCCCTCCTAGGGGGGCCCCATTTTGTTAATCCCTGTCCCGGCCGCGTGGCCGATGACCACGAATCGATCCTGCAACGGCAAAGCTGGGAAGTGTTGTGCCTCCAGTCCTAAATCATCGTCATCGTCATCGTCATTGTCATCGTCATCGCCATGTTCGTCGCCATCGTCATCGTCATCGTCATCGCCATCGTCGTCCTCATCATCATCATCATCATCATCATTATCATCATCGTCATCGTCATCGTCATGACCATCATCAAGAGCATCGTAACCATCACAACCACCATCATCATCACCATCATCATCATAATAATCATAATCAGTTTCATCATCATCATCATCATCATCATCATCATCATCATCATCATCAGCATCATCCGCAGCTCTGGTTTTGAAAGTCGCCTGGGCAAGGTGAGCGACCAGATGCCGTCGCGTATCGGCATCCCCGTCCTCGTACGGGATTGGGGGTCCCCCTGTGGTCCGCCGGGCTTCCACGATAACCCTGAGGGCCCCAGAATTGCGAGGAATTGCCCTAGGGTATCATCAGGACACGTCCAGAGTGCTTCATGCACTACCTTCTGACGGCGGAGGAGGCTACATGGACTGCGATGGGGAGGGCCACGTACGAGTGTACGCGCGCGTCCAGCTATACATCGGCAGCGTTTAGGCTCACTTACGCAGGGCCCGTCATGTGCAAATGGCGCGATGCACGTTAACAAAGCAGTGTTTACTTTTCCAGGGCGGAGTATCATCAGTACTGGGCTGAGGGGTACGACCAGCCTGAAAGTTGCCATGGGCACGCTGCACCGGTCAACTTCGTAGCATAACGAAAGACTTACAAAGTATGACTAACTTACGCCGCACGTATGGCTTATTTTGTTAGGCCGCGTGCGAAGGACGTGGTACGGCACGACGCGCGAAAATCAATCCACTCTGGTGCGCCACCGCGTGCTTACCAGAGAGTAGATCACTGCGAGTTGGCACAGTGTGTGCGCAGAAACGAATACATCTAAGAGTAGTGTACAACAGTGCAAAAAAAGGCCCAAGAAAACGCAACTGTCGTGAGTACTGCAACAACCGGTTCCATGACATCCGCACGTGAGTAAGAGGCGACACTCAACTACCAGCGTCATCTTGATGTTCAGGAACTCCTATCAAGAAACACTGCCACTGTCGAGACACGGCTCGGGATGCTTCGAACGCGCAGATAGCCAGAAGTTGCTCCACGTCCACCTGCTCTGCGTAGTGTGGAGAAAGATGCAATGAATCGCACAGCATGGCGATTGGGGGTGAAGGCGGAAAGACGGCACTGCAGTGGTTTGGGAGGTTGTTGGAATGGCTCATGCAGCGTATGACTCCCATATGTACATTGCTGATGCTGCAGTTCTGCAACCTATTGAGGTCGTCAGATGCGGCCACCTGGTACTTATCTAAGCCGATTGAAATCCTCGGCGAGCATGGTTTTGGCGTCGGCGACGTAGCTTCGGCATCGGCGACGTTTTCAAATTATCATCTTTGTTTTACGACAGCGGCGTTCGTTTAGTCAGAAGCCGCGCGGCTTTTCTGAATCCTGGGCAGGTGCTTCGGTGCGTGTCTGAAGCTGCGCCTTTGATCCAGCGTCGTTGGTCGGCGCGCTGCGATGGCGGTGCCGATTATGCCTGGAACCTGGCAGCGTTTCGCAATCATTTGCCAAGTTTTTTGGGATCAGGCGCGGCCCATCAACGATCTACCGCAAAGGGCAGGGCGTTTCAACCTCGGAGCGTTTCGATCGTCAGCCCAGTAGCTGGTTTGAAAACCGCCACGCGCATCGAGCCGAGATGTCTCGGCGTCTGTTTTCGTTCGGTCGCCTCGACCGCTGCGCGGAATGGCCCAAAGCCAGTGGGCCGAGAGAAGGGCAACGCCTGAATTCATTACAGACTTGCCGATAAAGCAAAACGACGCCAACGTTGCCGTCGCAGCCGCTTGAGCCTAGGCACGGGCGAGCCAAAATGGCAACAGGCAAGGAGGATGAGGAGGAAGAGGAGGAGGAGGAAGAGAGGAGGAGGGGGAGGAGGAGGAGGAGGAGGAGGAGGAACAGGAGGAGGAGGAGGAGGAGGAGGAGGAGGAGGAGGGAGGAGGAGGAGGAAGAGGAGGAGGAAGAGGAGGAGGAGGAGGAAGAGGAGGAGGAGGAACAGCAGGAGGAGGAGGAGGAGGAGGAGGAGAGGAGGTTGAGAAGGAGGGCGATGAGGAAGAGGAACAGGGATGGCTGAGTGCGTGTTTTGTTGTTGGGGCCGAGGGGGGAGGAGCAGGAGATCATAGAGGGGCGTGGCAGGAGATCATAGAGGAGGGGCGCAGACATGGATGGAAGAGTTCGCAATGACTCTGACTCGATCGCCCCCCTGGCCGCTCCCTGGGCCCGCCTCGCGCCCCAGGCCTGGCGGCAGCGATCTCTGAAGCGAAGCCTGCTCCCCCACCCCCGCCCTTGCGAGGAAGACGCCCGTGGCCAGTGGGGAGTTCTAAAACATCTTACTCCCCCCGGTGCCTTCGCCCTGATCTTCCTCCTCCTTCTCCTCCTACTCCTCGTGCTCCTCTTCCTCTTACTCCGCCTCCTGCCTCCTCCTCCTCCTCCTCTTCTTTTTCCTCCCCCTCCCCCTCCTCCTCCTCCTCCTCCTCCTCCTCCTCCTCCTCCTTTCCTCCTCCTCCTCCTCCTCCTCCTCTTCCTTCTCCCTCCTCCTCCTCCTCCTCCTCCTCCTCCTCCTCCTCCTCCTCCTCCTCCCCCTCCTCCTCCTCCTCCTCCTCCCTCCCCGCTCGCTTTGATGGCGGAGGCGGGGGAGGCGACGTCGACGGACCTCGCAGCCTGTCCTCAGTCCTCGGTGCCCTTGCTGTCGCGGCCGTCGCCGACCCCCGCGGGCGCCTTGGAGCTGTCCTCGGGGCCCTTCTCTGCGTCGAGCTTGGAGCCGTCGCCCTTCTCTGCGTCGAGCTTGGAGCCGTCGTCGTCCTTCACGCCGAGCTTGGAGCCGTCGTCGTCCTTCTTCACGTCGAGCTCGGGCTTGACCTCCCTCTGGATCGCATCGCACAGTTTGGGCAGCTTGTCTGAGATCTTCTTCCACGGATTGCAATCTTTCCGCAAGGAGGCGTGCTTCGCCAGCGAGTCGATGATCATTTTCCAGGTTTGGACCAAGGGACCATCAGCCGCCACGTTGAGCTTATTGAGCGCAGGGATCTGGGAGACGACGCACCCCCCCTTGGTTGCGGTCTTATAGAATGGCACGAATGCCGCAGGCACCCAGAGGAGCTGGCCCTTCTCGAGCACAATCCATCGCAAGCGATCGCCAAGCATCTCGAGCGTGCAGCCTTCCAATAGGGTAATGAGCTTGGCCAAATCGTCCATTTCTTGGCCGTCGCCCTGGATGAGCTGCGCGATGTCAGCCAAGAGCACCGTGGCCTCCCCAGCGACGCAGTAGACTACCTGCGGCAGGCCCGCCAAGCCAGTGCAGTCGAAGCCCGACCTGCACGCGTTCTCCGCGATCCCGACGTTCCAGGGGAAGAGCATGCAGTCTGGGACGCCTTCCACGACGTTGTCAAACAGCACATTGTACAGCTCCAGGTAGCGAGTAGAAGGCTCAATCGTCACGGCGTGCTGCAGGTTGCCCTTGCCGTTGGCTGCTTTGAGATGGTCGATGAGCCTCTTGGCCCTCTCCTGGAACTCCGCGTCGCAGAACTTCACGAGCTCATTGAGGTTCGTGTTCTTCGCAAGGTCGATGAGCCCGGGCCCCTTAGACGCCAGGGCCTTCGTCTCGGCATCGTCGAGCATGGGCTTCACCAAGGACGCCTTCACGCCATTCTTCGTCTCTTTCTCGATGTTGTCCAGGTGCTGGGCTATCTTCAAAGTGCAGCCCTTGTCTGTGAATCGCTTGGTTGACTGGTTGAGTCGATACCGATCCTTCGCGGCGTCGCTCTTGATTTTCTTCTGAGTCGCGGCATGGTGATCTTTGATCTTAGTCATGCTTGCGTTCAGCTGGCTGGCAAGGCGCTGAACTGTCGACTCGAGATCCGCCACCTCCTCCTGCATATCCTCGAACTTCGACGCTGGGCAGTTCGGCACGGCATTCTTCTTGTCGGAGATCTCCTTGATCGCGGCCTCGAGCTCCGTAATGTTTACCGCCACGACCTCATCAATGAGCATATGCTGGTACTTTGCGCCGAGCGACGTGGCGAAGTTCTGCGCGGTCCTGAGGAAGCCTCCTCTCTTGGGCGGGTAGACCTCATTCAGGAGGCCCGTGATGTCGACCCCCAGCTTCTTCTTGGCAGCGGAGATCTCTGGGCCCGTCCAAACCTTCTTGGGCTTCGCCGCCGACAGCGTCTCTGCGGGCGGCACTGGCATTCCGAACGGCGTTCCTGGCGCAGCACCGGCCCCCGCGGCCACGAGCGGCGTAGCCGTCCCAGACGACGTTGCAGGCTGCCCGTCGCCGCCAACGAGAGGTGCCGGGGACAGGCAGGGCGCTGGAACGCCATGCACAAGCGGCGCGCCCCCGCGGGCTGGACCGCAGCTGTTGGAGAGGAAGTCGTGACCGAAGACGCTAAAATGATTGTCTTGGAACACCGCTGCGTCGCCACGACCCCAGGACGCGCCGCGAAAAGCTGCGCCAACACGAAGAGCTGCCTGAGCCTGGCCACCCATGTTCGCAAGCTGGTCAGACGACCCGCTCGCGGCGGATCTCACCCGCTGCATGGCCCGCTGGATGTCATCCTTGCCTTCGTGTGCCTTCTCGGACTGGATGGCCGAACTCTCCCCGACGCCCTGGATGCCCCTGTACTTCTTCGGCAGAGCAACAGGGACCCTGAGGTTCACCCCTTCGCCCTCCTTGAGGATCCTCGGGTCGTTCACGGCAGCGTCCCACTCGATTTCACACCGAGCGTCATCCCACCGCTTCCAGAACGCATGGTGGGCGCAGAACTCATCGAAGTCGAGCATGATCACGTCGTCGAGCTGCTCCTTCCTGCTGTAGGTTTCCAGGGTGTCCAAGCTTTTGGTGGCAGCGTCCCTATGCACGGCAGTCCGATAGCGGCCGTCTTCAACGACGAGGCCCAGCACTTGTTTCCGCCAGAGGGTCACGTTGTTCTTCTCCACGTCGCGCAAGTTCCTCATGTGCACCTTCTTAGCGGGATCGTGCTCCCGGGCGTCGCGAGCAAGAGCGGCGTTCTCCAGGTACCTGGCCGCGCCGCGGCACTTGTGGTGCCAGTAGACCACGTCCGCATCAGCCCCTGTGGCCTTGGTCTCGTCGTCGAAGATGTTCACCTGCAGGCGCGGGGGGGAAGGGGGAGGATGACGACGACGGTTTCAGGCCTCCCTTCCATTCTTCATTCGTTCCTCCCTCTCGTCCTCCTCCTCCTAGTCGGCCTCCTCCACCAATCCTGCGCTGCACTTCCCTGTCGTCCTCGTCCTTCCATCCTCCGAGGCTCCGTCATCCTTCCTCCGCCTCGTCCTCCTCGGCCTCCTCCGCAAATCCTGCGCCCCTCCTCCTTGTCACCCTCATCCTCCTTGTTTTCTTATAGCCGTGGCTTGGCTCCTGGAAATTGGAGTGGTGACATTTGATTTGGCATCCATCCAGGGCTCGCCTCGAGCTCGCAGACAGGGCAGTGGTGCTTCTCGCCGTCCGGGCAGTCGGTGGCGGCCGCGGCCGCGCCCTGGCCCTCGCCGTTCGCATCTGCGCCTTCATCGTCAGAGGGGCCGAACTTCATCCGTTTCTTGTGTCTGCCACCCCCCCTGGCGCTGGCCCGCTTCCCACCGCGGGCGCCAGCGACGCCGCCCTTGCCCCTGCGAGGCGGCAACTTCTGCGGTGACCCCGCGACTCCGATGTCGTCCTCCAAATCAGCGAGGCGCACATCTGCTTGCGGTGGCCCCCCACCGAGCTCCCCGGATGCTGCCGCCATAACCTGGGCCAGGAGGGTTGAGTCGACCTCTTCGGGCCGCTCGGTCGGGCCAACAAGCCCACGCCTCGACGTCTCGAGCCGATGCGCCTATACGGGCATTGCTAACGATGACCACTCCACCTGGTCAGCCGAAGTTACCCACGTCAGTCCTATGAGATACGGTGGAGAGACTTCGATAAGGAACCCAGGGTCTCGTGACCAATGGGCGGCCTGCCGCGAGCCAGCCAATTCGCCTCGAAAATCGTCCATTCAGCTCTGAACTGTGGTTCTCACCGAAGCCAGCCCCTCACCTTCTCTGTTAAAAAAACCCTCCGAACAGGTGCATGTTTAAAGTAGGTAAGGGTCTCTACGTTTCACCGTTTCGGGCTGAAGCCTTCAAGACCGTATACAGGGCCTCCTGGCCCGTCTTGATGTTCTGAGATGTGGTTCTCACCGAAGCCAGCCCCTTGCCTTCTCTAAAACACAGTCTCCGAAAAGGTAGTTGTTCAAAGTAGGTTAGAGCCTCTACGTGTCACCGCGTCTTGGGCGACATGCAAAACCTCCTGGGCCGTGCTGGGCGCCCTTCATGCACATAAAAACATGACCGCAATGATCATGGATAGGAACGGCATGTATCTCTGAGATGCTAGCGTTAGAGTTTTGGGACTGGCCTAGGGACCTCCCAAGACACACCTCCTAGGGCTGCAGGACGCGCCTCCCCAGAAGGGCCGCGAGAAGCAGCGACTCCCCACCAGCGGGTTCCCAGGCACGGACTGTTTGGATGACCAAATGACAACGTTTTCTGGGCCCCCTTCTGGGGCAGTCTTGGAGGCCCGTGGCGCCACTTCTTCAAAACGCACACATGATCCCGGATCTCCAGAGCGAAGTTTGCTCACATGATCGAACGAATCCATCAAGCCCTGGATTCACGCCGCGCCGCTGCATGATGGCGAGGCCCCGAAAACAAAAGCGCCTCTCACCTTGGCCGCCCTCGGCCTCAGCCCTCAGAGGATCGGCATCTGGCCAGGCGAGGCGGAGTGGAGACGCACCACCGCAGCCGCGAACTCCTTCGTGTATTTCTCGCTGTCCTTCATGTGCGTTTTCTTCCCAGAAGTCTTGCCATGCGTGGTGGTGTAGAGCTTTGCCAGCGGCTGACCGATCCTCGATATCGACCGCCTCAGCCCTCGAAACTTGTCCGATGTCGTGAACAACTTCAAAGGTTTCGCCGTGGGGGCCCCGAAACTGCCGAGCCATGTCGGCACCCGGATCATCCTCGCCATGTAGTCGGCCAAGAATGGTAATTCGTCGAACACCGATGACATCGGTTGCTCCAGCACGACATGGACGTCAATCAGGTTGGCAACCATCATGAGGATCATACACCGCAATGCCATTCGATTACCTTCGATGGCAGGCGGACAATGCGGGCTGCCAAGACGATTGTCAGGGAAGCGCTTGGTCACCGATCGCGAAATCCAGACGAACGAGCTGCACTGCGGCGAGAGCCAGAGCAAGCCGCCAACCTTTCGGGCGACCAGAAATCTGCACATGCACCACCCCTTGGACCCATCGCGGGCCCACTATGGGCGCGGCCCTCTCAGGGTCCTAGGGCCCAAGAGCGCCCGCGCAAACGCCTGACAGGATCGCCCACGAAGCTCCTTGTTGGTGATCCTGTCAAGTGCCTTCCCGGAGCTCCCATGGAGCGCTCTTGGAGGCCTCCTCTTGGAGCCCTCCTCTTGGAGCCTTCTCGGGCCTTCTCAGAGCCCTCAAGAGCCCGAGAGGCTCCTGAACATAACGCGACGTTGAGGCAATCATAGTCCCATGAAGTCTCCATGGCGCAACGGCCAGCGATAAATGCGCGTCATTGTCATCCTAGATCGCCTATTGCCGCCCACAGGGCGGCGAGAGGGGACAGGCGGAGCGGGCGCGAGCCCAATCAAGAATCACTTGTTTTAACCCAGGGTCGGGGCCCCTCAGTATTCAGGATCAGGCCAAAAACTTGAGATGGGGCTGGACTGGGCGGCCCCGCCAGACGCCCTGGTTTCAGGATGGACCCCCAAATGTCCTGGGCCAAGGATGGTGTTGTCAAGGGGTCACGCATGCGCAGTTCTCCACATCCTAAGCCTTGGTCGCCAACAAGGTCCACATGTAGATCGCGAACCCCACGCTGGTCAGGATGTTGAGATGATCTGAGTCGTATTTGATGTCGAGGGCGATCGACCGCAAGCCGAGCTCTCTCATCTGCTTATCGATGCGGCCGACGCCAGCAAACTGCTCCACTGCGGAAAACAACCACCCAGACGGAGTGTTGACCCGGATGCGCAATGCCGCGCCAACCAAGCTAGTGATCGCGTCTGGCAAGGACGTTTCATTAGTCAGGTCGAAGAACGATCGTTTCAGGATATTCAGCGCCAGCACGTGGAACTCCCGAGGCATCGACTCCTGAACGAAGTGGCCGATGCGCTCGCGCGCGGTGGACGGTGCTGCAATTGCCACAGGAAGAAGAAACAAACACTTGTCTTGGATCAAGTCTGGCACGTACTTGCGGACGCCGTAGCAAACCATCTGGACGTTCACCTGCCCGCTATGAATGCACGCACTCCTCCTGAACTCCTGCTCCCACCTCCTCCGCCTCCTCTTTCTGCTCCTCCTCCTCCCCCTCCTCCTCCCCCTCAGGCCAATTTGGTAGGGATCGCCACGTCGCCACTCGCCGAGTAGTGATCCCTACCAAAGCCTCCTACCAAAGCCTCCATTCTCCTCCTCATCCTCCTCCTCCCCATCCTGATCCTCGAAAGGTTCGACGCCATATGGGCCTACTCCGGGGCGACCTTTGGGGCCCATGTCGGGCCACCTTTGGGGCTTCATGGGGTCTCTTGGCGGATTGTTGAAACGTTGTGGACCCCCCGAGCGACCGTGTCAAGGAACGGCGGCAAGCGTTCCAAATCCGCCACGACCGCCACAGCCGACGCAATGATGGGCGACGGCACAATGATCCCCATGTCCTCATCGCCGACAATGTCGTCATCATCACGATGGTCCCAAACAGGCGACGTCGGGGACGCTGGCACTGCGACGCAGTCGACGACGACGTCGTCGGCGCCGCCAGCCGCCATGGCGGCAGGCTGGGACCCCGCTGGGAGTCTCTTGGAGGGCTTGAATCCACAGTGGCGAGTTACACGCGCCCATGGTGTCTTAATTTTTTTGCATGGCCCCTCGGGGCTCCTGGGAGCCTCTTGGGGTCACATGACATCCTCCTGGCCTCAAGACAGCCCTGGGAGCCTCTTGGGGCCTCTTGGGGCCTCATGACAGCCCTGGGGCCTCTTGGAGCCGCTTGGGGCCTCTTGGGGCCTCTAGTCTACATAGCGATGGTTCTATAAGGCTAAGAGGTTACAGGGCTAAAGGCATATCGCGAAAACGCTGCAGGGCGATACTCAGGCAAATTTTTGAAATTTGCCTGAGCATCGCCCCTCAGTGTTTTTCGCCCTCACCCTTTTCCAGCCCTGAGGGACGCTGGCACCAGGACTGCGCCGACCTCTAGGACAATAAGGCAATAGGACATGGGACACCCAGAATGCTTCCAAGTGGGACAGGAAGGAACACCTAGGGGTGCCCGACAGGCCTCGGCCACGGCCGCAAAACGAAATAACAGTTCCTGTTGTAACCCCGTAATACGCTACTACTATTCCTACTACTACTACTACTACTACTACTACTACTACTACTACTACTACTACTACGACGACTGCTACTACTACTACTATTACTACTACTACTACTACTACACACCACTACTACCACTACTACCACTACTACCACTACTACCACGACTACCACTACTATCACTACCACCACCACCACCACTACTACTACTGATACTACTGCTACTACTACTGCTACTGCTACTGCTACTACTACTGCTACTGCTACTGCTGCTGCTGCTGCTACTACTACTATACGTGTTGCAAAACTGCGCCAAGGGCGCCAACTCAGGCGCGAGTCGCGAGTCCGCCAACTCAGCCGATGGGTGGCAGAACGCAGCGCGACGCCGTGATCGAAGGGTTGTTTCCTGAAAAAGCGTCCCCGCTCCAAGATCAGAGGGCCCGCAACAAGAAAAAGGGTACCCGCATCAAGAAAACCATAGTTTTTTCTTGTGGGGATCTTGTTGGTAACAACTTTTCTGCTTGCCGAAAAGTTGTTACCAACAAGATCCCCACAAGAAATAACTATGGTTTTCTTGGTGCGTGTACCCTTTTTCTTGTTGCGGGCCCTCTGATCTTGGAGCGGCGAAGCGTTTTCGGGGAAAAAAACTTCGATCGCGGCGTCGCGCTGCGTTCTGCCACGCATCGGCCGCGCCTGCCCAATCGCGAACGTTTGTTGTTGTTTCGCATGCGCTTTGCGGCTGAGTTGGCGGACTCGCGCCCGAGTTGGCGCCCTTGGCGCCGTTTTTGGTAGTGGTAATAGTAGTGATAGTCGTATTGATAATCGTAGTCGTAGTCGTAATCGTACTCGCGGTCGTAGCAGTAGTCTTAGAAATTGCAGCAGTAGTAGTAGTAGCAGCAGTAGTAGTAGTAGTAGCCATAGTCGTAGTCGTAGTCGTAGTCGTAGTAGTAGTAGCAGTAGTAGTAGTAGTAGTAGTAGTAGTAGTAGTAGTAGTAGTAGTAGTAGTAGTAGTAGTATTCGTAGTAGTAGCAGCAGCAGTAGTAGTAGTAGTAATAGTAGTAGTAGTAGTAGTGGTAGTAGTCGTGGTAGTAGTAGTAGTAGTAGTAGTCGTAGTAGTAGTAGTAGTAGTAGTAGTAGCAGCAGCAGTAGTAATAGTAGTACTAGTAGTAGTAGTAGTAGTAGTAGTAGTAGTAGTAGTAGTAGTAGTAATAGTAGCAGCAGTAATTGTAGTTGTAGTTGTAGTTGTAGTTGTAGTTGTTCTTTGTAGTGGAGCTTGCAATAAAAAAATTAGCCTGACGAGGGACCCAACCATATACAGGTGTGAGTACCGCAATAGTGATTCACTTTTTCGGTGGCGATCCCTATGAGGCAACGAACCGTGCTAGGGGTGTGCCGACATGAGTGGCGTGGTACACAACGCGAACGAAAACGATTGATCTGAGTACGTAGGGAGACTGAGCGCGGGTGAATCTGCGCGCGTGCGTCTGACTGTGAATGAATCTGCGTGCGAACGAGTCTACGTGCATGAATGCGAATATGACAAAGCGTGGCGCAATTGTGTATGAATGTCAATAGTTTGACAATGTCTGCCTCTGAGTACTCGTGACGCTGGGCGTGGCCGCCGCAAGGAGCTTCCCCGGGACTCCCCGACGGCATCGCCCGCGCGCCGCGACGCCAATGTCGGCGCGCCTACCGGCGAGGATCGCGCCCGCTTCCTCCCCTTCCTTTACTCCCTCTTTGCCCGCGCACTCAAAAGTCCAAGGTTGCGGGCGCAGCGCAGCGCGGAGTCCCCGCGACGCGCGCAGGTCGCCCCGGAGGGGTCCCAGCGACGCGCGCGGGTCGTCCACTGCGCGGAGCAAAAAGAGCTAGCTGGCTGGCTGATAGCGGGCAAGGCTCTTGCCGCTGGGCAGAGAGACGACGGGACGCATGCGGGCACACCCACTGGGACCTTCGGTGGAGCTCCCTATGGGGCCACGGAACGTGTGAGGGGTGTGCCGAAATGGGTGTGCGGGACGCATGCGGGCACACCCACTGGGACCTTCGGTGGAGCTCCCTATGGGGCCACGAAACGTGTGAGGGGTGTGCCGAAATGGTGTGCGGGACGCATGCGGGCACACCCACTGGGACCTTCGGTGGAGCTCCCTATGGGGCCACGAAACGTGTGAGGGGTGTGCCGAAATGGGTGTGCGGGACGCATGCGGGCACACCCACTGGGACCTTCGGTGGAGCTCCCTATGGGGCCACGAAACGTGTGAGGGGTGTGCCGAAATGGGTGTGCGGGACGCATGCGGGCACACCCACTGGGACCTTCGGTGGAGCTCCCTATGGGGCCACGAAACGTGTGAGGGGTGTGCCGAAATGGTGTGTGCGGGACGCATGCGGGCACACCCACTGGGACCTTCGGTGGAGCTCCCTATGGGGCCACGAAACGTGTGAGGGTGTGCCGAAATGGGTGTGCGGGACGCATGCGGGCACACCCACTGGGACCTTCGGTGGAGCTCCCTATGGGGCCACGAAACGTGTGAGGGGTGTGCCGAAATGGGTGTGCGGGACGCATGCGGTGCCGACGGGACGCATGCGGGCACACCCACTGGGACCTTCGGTGGAGCTCCCTATGGGGCCACGAAACGTGTGAGGGGTGTGCCGAAATGGGTGTGCGGGACGCATGCGGGCACACCCACTGGGACCTTCGGTGGAGCTCCCTATG